GTTACCCAGTTTTGCCTCAGGCCCCACGGTCGCCACTGGTGCTGTCCCACTCCCCGCTGACGGCTCCGGCGTATTCACCCTATGTCGCACCGCCGGGGGCGCTCAGGAGTCGTCTTTCTTTGTCTGGGATCTCTTGGGTATCATTTTGTGTTTGGAAGGCTTGTGAAATATGGGTTTGTTTTTTTTTATTCACGAACAATTGGCAGAATGTCAGTTGCTCGGCGGTTCCATCGTCTAAGTCCTTTGTTGTTTGGTGACGAGGTCATTGGGCAACCGGGGGTCTCTTGATACAACTTCTTAATTTTACGGTTTGTCAAATTTGGATCGCCATATGAATATATTAAACAATATCATGTGTTTTGTATTTATTTATTTATTTATTGATTTGGTTATGTATTTATTATTACTATTACTATTATTATTATTATTATTATTATTATTATTATTATTATTATTATTATTATTATTTAAAAATATAAAATAAAAATAAAATAGCAGGGCGAAACCTAGGTCCATTTGGCAGAACGGAGCCCTTGAGATGATCTTCCAAACTATCTTTGTCAGCTTGGGTTGCTGAAGCGGGCGCAAGGGCTTCTCATGCCTTTGAAGCATCTAAACTGCCATTCTGGCATTGCCTTTGATTCCAGAGTCAGGTAGGGCTCTTGATTGTGCCACTGCGTACAAAGGCAGCGAACAAATGGGAGGCATTGAAGAATCCTTGCCCAGGTCACTCAGTGTTGATGTTTGATTCTGCCAGATCTGGCCGAACGCCTCAAGGTGGAAGCCTCACTGGGATAGGCAGTTTGGGGCATCACCCCGCAGTCATTGGCAGGCAATGTTAATGAGCAGGGAGCGCCAAAACCAGGACGCGTTGCAAGCTGCCTGCTCAGAGAAATACGGGCCTCAGGGCCACCGGAAGGGAGGGAGAGATGGGGGAGGATTTGGGTGCCGAATGCAGTTGGGCATGACTTAGCAGCTAGCTGCAATCCCCGATCTTAATTGCCAGAGTCCTCTCTTTTTTTACCCACACTTAAGATGCAGCTGTACGTAGCCGTTTCCAGAGACCAGACTGGAAGAATCATTCGAATACATCAATCTTACCATAATCTGTTTGCGCCTTAGAGGTTACGCGTTTTGCCCCGACAGCATCTAGCGCCCTGTTCCAACAGCCTTTTGCACCATCTCTGAATCCGGTTGAAAGCTTGCAAAAAGGGGGTTTCCTCATGAATATGCACATATGGAAATTATGCAAGCCTGTTTGCACACATATTGTGATCATTGACCTTCATTTTGGGAACGGAACCTGCCAGGCAATAGAAACACACTCAGGTGGAGTGGTTCACCTGGACATTCCCAGGCGCGGCCTTTTGTGTTCATCAATGGCGGTCGGGGGGGGGGGTTGACAAGGGTTACATCCACCAGTTTGGGCAAATGGCATTTGCAGAGGCCATGCGAACAATTCCATGAAGATGTTTATTCACGCTTGTGGTGAAAGTCGATGGCACAATTTCCGCATGTTGGTTTAGTCCCCATTGCTTGCCCACATATAGCGAGTAATCTACTTTCACCCTGGTGTACAGGTTGGCAACATATTTTAGTCTTGGCCCAGAAAGTTGTAGTGCTTTCGCTTGGACCCGCTATTTTCTGGACCCCAAAAGCCTGCCTTTTTTGGGGTCCACGAGCCTTTCAAAGGGGTTCTCAAAAAAAATGAGGGCGGGTGCCCTTTAATCCACCAATGGGCGTGTCTTTTTTTTTGAAACCACAATGAACAATGGTACCTTCAGGAGAAAAAACAAATACCCAATTAGCTCGGCAGGGTGAACATGTCACACCCCGGTCCCAGGAGGCTTCACCGGAGCCCGGAACCTCGGTGTGGGCGCAGATGACATTTGGGAAGTTTCGGGGGCCCACTGGAGCCTGGAGCTGGGGCCTGGCGTGCACGGAGCTTTCGGCTGGCGACGACTGATTTTGGATAAATCCTCCTGGGGGATTATTGCGGCGTGTCACTTTGGAACCTGGCAGTCAAACGAGGGGTGTGGCTGTCCTGGGATCCATGAATCCATCAATCAAGGGGTCGTCCCCCATACGTTTCCCCTTCATGGGTACATGGGAAGTATGAACTATTGCATTGGGGGCAGTCAGGTCCGGGGATCAGGGATCCAATGGCCAACCTGAGCTGGACAATCCCAAGCAGAAAAATAGATGCCTCCCGTTGGTTTCGGGTAGGCCGCTCCAATAAATACCAGGAGTCGAGTGTGGTCGATACCACTTTGATACCACTTTGATACGAGGTGGTTTATGCCGCGTCGATGCGCACGTTTGATGATTGTCTTGGCTGATCAATCCCACACCGCGCCAAGGCATGGCACACGGTGGACGTCTCAGACGCTGCCAGGGGCTGAGACACAGACCCGGCACTTTGGGAAGGGGAAACCCAACTAGTCACAGGGCGCCCACCCACCTTTCAAGGATTCCTCTCGAGTGCTTTTGGTTCCTGGGCCCCAGCCACCTGCACCACGGAAGGGCTCACATGCTGGGGAAATCGATCCGTCATGTTCACAACAAGAAGCCCAGCCCGCAACAATTCACGCCCCTTTCTGCTTGAAAAGATGCATTTATCGACTCATCGACCGAGTGCCAGGAAAATGGGGTGTCCTCTTTTTTTTTGCCTGACCACTGGAGGTCAGAGGTCAAATCATTCCGAGCCAGTCATCTCCAAATGCCCAAGCCGTAAACTTAACTACGCAACAGGATTGCCCCGAACTGCAAAGCAATGACCGAACTGCAAAGGGTCGAATATCACGCAACTGGAGCTCCTTCCCCTTCCTTTTCACCAACCTTCTGCCCTTTTGCCGTTTTTTGCTTAGTCAAGATCTGGAGAGACCTTGCTGAACCCCGGCCCGGTACCCATGCCCTTGGCACAGGCCACTTCCTCCTGGCGCTGTGCTCCCGGGCGCGCCGTCGCGGTGATCCTTTCTGCGTCGAAGCACTTGACCACAAGATGGTCTGCTCACTTCCCCAGCTGGCGGACTTTAAGCCTTTTCGGGAGGCCAATGTTGCGTGCCAGTGGGAAAAACAAGCAGTCTAGACTCTTGTCCGACAGGTGGCTTGGGCTTCCTAAGTTTCCCTTGAAACATGCCAGAGAGGGTCCATTGCCCCTTAGTGTGATGGTAGGTGTGAAGGCTGAAGCGCACACAACATGTGCCTTTGTTGTGATCCCCGTTGTGAGCACGTCTCCGGGTTTGGGTATTCAAGCGTTTGCTTTGCCGGGCTGGACAAAGTTTGCGTAAACCACCACCTCTAGCTCCCTTTGCCGGCCAACCGAAGCAAGATTGTCGAAAGATAAGCGGTTTACAGTAAGCTTTGGCGAGCTCCGCTGCAGATCCTCGAGCAGCTTTGCATTGCTCACCTTAGCTTACATTGCCCGTCTTGAAAACGGTGCCAGCCAGGGCAGCTTTGATGTTGAACTGTTTGGGTGTTTCAAGGCACGCAGACACAGCAAGCAGGTTCATTATGTAGCGTATAGGTTGAAATGCTCTATGCCATGTGGTATGCATGCGGATCATGAACTTATATGCACATGGTACGCACTCAAATATATATATATATATATATATATATATATATATACATATAAATACATATATATATATGTATATATATACATATTCCATATGTATATAGGGATGTGTGTGTGTATAAATACACACCAATGTGAGCATGAACCAGCAACGAAGAAGGTTTGTCGGCCAGGACCCTTGCGGTCACCAAGCCCCGGCATGGTCAGTGAGGCACGTGGTCGCAATTACAAAGGCGCTGCATGGCATCACGGGAGGCTTGTTCCATGTGTTTCTTTGTGATTTCTTGTCCCTGAGGCAATCCTGGGTGATTCGTGGATTGTCGGGGTGGATTGGTGATGAGTAGATGTGAAACTCTTGGCTGCTTGAGGTGCACTGACCCGTTAACCTCCAGACCCAAGCCACCAAGTTGGGCAAGCTGAGTGCCGTGATCCACTCATGCGTGCGGTATCTCGCGGTAGGTTGGGCATGCGCTTTGGCGGCTTTGGCCACAAAAGGCTTTGGACATGATTTCTGGTCCCGGGGCTTCAAAAACAAAGCTTGCCTCAAAGCCTTTTGACGCGCTTAAAAAGGCTTTCAAAGCTCTGACAACACTGACAACTTTAACCCTTTCAACCCCGCCTTGCCCTTTTCCCAAGACCTTCACCCCCAAAACCTCCATCCCAAGACCTGCCACCTCGCAGCCCCGGATTCAAGGCCTCCTCGCAGGTCCGCTCGGAGGCCTCGGGCTGGAGCCTCAGTTCGATGCTCCCAGCCGGGAAGCTGACGGAGCGGCAGTCCCCGAGGCAGCTTCAGCCCAAAGAAGTTGGAGTGTCGGAGCTTATGACACGAGGGACGCAACTTGTGTGTGTGCGTGTGTCACGTTGGTATTAGAGAATGCGTCCCTCTGCCTCTGTCCGTATGTATGTGCGTGTTTGTTGGTTTTGTATTTTCCTACCAGCCCCAGAGCACTGCCTCAGCTGTGAGCGTGCTTGAACAGGCGCACTGGCTGCCCAACTGGGAAGGCATCAGAAGGTGGCTGTCATGCGCTTGCGCAGTCGGCTTTGTTGGCTCGAGTCCGTGTGGCTGTCAGGAGCGACGCCTCAAGACACCCCCGTAACCCCTGGCGTGCACTGCTCCCCCTTTCAACTCTGCGCCGGGGGTGCAGAGCCACGGAACAATTTGGCGCACGGCATGCATGCCACCGACCACACCGTTTAAGAAAGGATTCATGAGCGGAAGGATGCAAACCACATGATCCGCCCTTGGACAGTTTCATCCGGGAGTTCAGTGAAAGGCACAAAGCAAAGTGTGCACCGTGGGTGTGGATTCCACCCTCGAAATCCCTTTTTGGGCTTGGGACCTACGAAACATGAGCCCCCAAGACCGGTTCCGAGTTGCTTCCAACCGGGTCGTTGGTTGCCGCTGGGCTGCGCTTCTACCATGTTGGCGCCGAGCCTCCCACGCCTGCGGCATACCCCGGCGCGGGATGTGCCTCGCACGGCGCAGCATGCGGGCAAAGCGCCTGCGAAGGCGGGGCTGCGACCTCGGGGCCGGATGCGGCATTGTGATTCCAAAAATTCAGCTGCGGGGTCACCCCAAGAAGCAAGCACACGGTGCTCCAGAACCATGGCGGTTGCCTATTTTGAATCCAACGACTCCCAGAATAATCAACGGAAAAGGTCACTGGCCCTAAACATGGCACTATGTGGCAGCTGGAGTTGTTGCTTCCAGGCCGCGGCCTCAGCAGATTTCTTCCCTTCCCAGGGCCTACATTGAATGTACACCATGGATACCATCTATAGCTGTTTTATTCTGGTCATATACGTGGTATGTCTTTTTCCCCTTGGCAGTGGGTGTAGTGACAAAACCCTACCTCCAAACCATGGGCAACACATGTCATCGGTTTCCTTCCGAGACTCGCCGCAGCTCTCGAGCCATCCGCCGTTTCGTTCGAGAGGAGGGCCTCTCGGTGGCGGTGGTGGGCGCTGGACCCGTGGGCCTGCTCACTGCCCTGGCGCTCTCGCGCCGGGGCTTCCGCAAGGCGCTTCGGGGCTTCGGCTTTTGCTCCCGGGCCCAGGTTCGATTCAAGGCCATGAGAAACAAAGGTGGAGGCAGGTGGTGTTGGTCAGAAACAGATTTCGGGGGTTCCTCTTAAAAACGGGACAATGGGTTGATGGACCAATGTGTTCATTTACATTCTGACACGCAGACACATGGAAGTGGTTGGAGGACACATTTTGCCCTTTGCTTTAAATTACCTACCTGACGTCTTTGGTGTGGCCATGCAAGTAAGTGTGCTGCATACTCATTCTGGTGGGTTCATCCTCCACTATAATGTACCTTGCTTGGGGAGGATGTATGTCTTGCGGGGTTCCCCCGCAACATTTATGGGTTTCTCCCGTATCGCCATGCTTCCCGACCTGGGCCGAGGTGTGAAACCCGTGAGACCCGTGAAGCGTGGCCCGTGAAGCCAGGTGAAGGTGCTGGATCGCCTGCCGCAGCCCCCGAAGCCGGAGGAGCAAGTCTGGGGGGACCCGGACAGGTCCTACAACCTGGGCCTGGGAGGCCGGGCCGGGCGGGGCAGGCGGGAGGCGGGGGTTGGGGGTTTGGATTGGAGGGTAGGGTTGACCTGAAAGGCTCAAAACCAACCTGTGTTGGGGTGGACCAGGTCATTTGCAACTGCGCCAAGAGCAGCAAAAGGCACTCATGAGTTTCAAGTGAGAGGTTGGCTGTATTTTGCCTGGTTTTGCTGGGCATGAGGGAACACGAACAATGTGGAAACACTTGCGTTCCAAGAGGTTGCTGCCGGAGCTGGTTGCCATTTGGCAAGTCGTCTTTTCTGACATCTCCTGTGCCATCACGGGCCGGAATCAGGCAGGAAGGCCACGATTGATTGGCGGATGTACGTTCCGCGCCATGCCTCCGGTTCCCATCTACATGCATTCCTTGGCATCCCCTGGCTTTGAAGCCCACGGATCCTTTTTGACCTCTTCGCCGGTGAGGCATTCCCATATCAAACCTCCGCGGTGTTGGGGGGCGCTACTCTCACCGCTGGCGCTTCGAACCGCTGGCACTTCCCAGGCCGGGGCCAGCGGGCGCTGCTGAAGTTTGAGGCCATGGAGGCGGTGGAGAGGTGGAGCAAGACGGTGGTGGGCCGCAGCTCGTCTGGTCATCCGAGCGACCCGCGACCTGCGACCCGCGACCCGCGACCCGCTCGGAGCTGGGAGGTGGAGCTTCCCTGCCTTTGCCGGGCTGGTTTTGGGGGACGAGCAAAGGATCGTAGAGCCATTTACCCACTGAACGAGCAAACTTTTGTTGCAAAATGGAGGTTTGCTTGGGCGATTTCGCGAAGCACCACTTCGAGGTCGATTTCGAGGATGTCACTCTGCTTCCAGCATAGCCAAGGTTCTAACTAAGCTGACAGGGGGTTGATTAGTTAACCTTCATGGTTAAACTACTTTGAACATCCAAGTGGAGGGACTCTCCTACCTTCACGGGTGTCAAGGGGAAGAATGTAATCCTAAAGGGGGCTGATGGAGCGGTCGGGCCTAGCGTTTTCGCCCTGGCCTCCGGGTGCAGCCTTGCCATGGGCACACATTGCAAGAAGTGCCACTTTGATAGGACGCGCAGCTTTTTGACCAAACAGCAGGCAAAAGCAGTCCGTTCGGAAGCTGCAGGCGCAGGCTTGCAAGGCTTGAAGCAGGATGGTGCAACATTCTTCCAACGGCTGATTGGTTTGGGGTTTTGAGACAAGCCCATGTAGATTTGGCAGGGCCCGTTGGTTCCTCATAGAGGGGTTGTTTCAATGTACGTCCTAGTCGTTAATTGTTTAAGCACGATCCTGAATCAACTTGCCAGATGGTAAGCGTTTGCCCTTGTGCTGGCGTTCCAGTAGCAGTATAGCACCCAAATAGCCAGAGAAACCTCCTTTTGCATGCTTTTGTGAAATGAACCCGCCTTTTTGGGTTCTTTCCGTTGTTTACTTCCTGAGTTTGTGGACTTGAAACTTTTTGGAAATATCCACTTAGGAAGTGAGGTTAATTTGGAAGGGAGTACGGATCAGAGACCCTCGGCGTTTAGAGCGCTCGAGTTTGATCGAGTTTGCCTGCTCAGGCAAGGACTGGTCCAGCGGCGAGGCCAAGGTGCGGACGCAGGAAAGACACCGTCAATGGACCTGAACGCAAAAAATGAGTGAATTCGCGTCACTGGCATGGCATTGTTTGATTGATTTTGGATTTATTCAAGGTTCGTTTCTATGCTGGGCCAGAATGAAACATATTATCTTGGTTGGGGCAGAATCTGAGGTAGCTCAACTAGTGCCTCATGATGCTTGAGTTTGGGCAGGTGACGCTGAACAACCGGCGCTTCATGACCAAAGTCATTGCCCGGGACCGCCTCTCCAGCGTCCTCTACCATGAGCTTCAGGCCTGATCGCGCTGGCGACTTATCTTCCCGGTTGCGAATGGGGAAGAGGGCCCCAAGAAAAGGAAACATTGGTCACCTTAAATCAAGACTTGCGGGCCTCTCTTTTTTCGATGCGGCCTGCATGTTTTTGGTGAGAAAAAGCTTAGATGGTCAAAACCGATGAGGTTTGGTGTTGGAAAGACCGGATTTCCTTCCATTGGGGGGATCCATTTTGGAGAAAGCTCTCTTGATCTGGATGCAGGTGAAAACCATCGCTTCATGTCCACCACCCCTCTTAATCGGGCTTGCAACCTACTTGCTGTGTGTATCTGTTTCGCCCGCTGGTCCAAACTGCCCACTGATCCGTTTCCCCAACGCGTTTCTCCACACCCCGCAACGGCATCCGGGTAGGCAAGGCGAGCAGATTTGAGCGTGCCATGGGCGAGCGTGGTTCTCCTGGCACAAGCTTGGGCAGAATACGTGTGAAGCATGGAAGGCCCTCGAGTCAGGATCTCCATGTGAGCAAAAGATGGCAGCCAACTGGAATCGACTTCAAGCCGATGTTCTTTCTTTTTTTTTTGTCAATCTTATTTTAAGAGGACAACTAATCCGACTTATCCGGGGGGGTCCTTCCAGTCAGGGCATGTTGTGCAATGTCAATCCGCAAGATCCTCGCTGCTAGATGGTGCTGATCTCCCTTGTGGTGTGCCAGGGGGGTTGGATCAGGGCACCCCTGTTTGGAACAAACTCAGGCCGTGGGAAGGCGGATTCAAGCTTATTTGGGGGAGAGAACATGCTCACCATAGGGCCTTTGCTCGGGCATCCCTAGGTTTGCTGTAGGCTTTGCAGGTATCATTTGGCGTTTAGGTGACCTCTTGTGCCCAAGCACGGGGCAGCATGGCGTCAGCCGCAGGAGAAGCACCCGGAAGTTGAGGTGCAGTTCTCCACAGAGTGCAGCTTTGACATCGCTCGACTGGAGTCGGTCCTCCTCTGGCATCACTTTACGAATCAAAATGCCGACTGCGAACGAAATTGAATCTGCCATTTGGGGTGTACCACGGGGTTTGGGCCAAGTTGATGTCTCACATATTATTGCCTGCTTGGTTAAGAGCCGTGAAGGATAGTTTCCTGTTGAATGCTAGCCGTTGCTTGAGTTATCCCGGCGGCCATGCCTTTCCATGCGTTCCTTCCGTCAAGTGACCCAATACAAATGTGAGAAGCTGCAGCAGCCCGTTGGCTTGCCTGCATGCGAACTTCGGATTAACCCGGCGGACCGTACTAATCAGGGGTGGTTCCCTGTCAGAGGAAATCATATACTTTAGGGGATCCGTTGACTAGTAGGGTCTCCCAGAGTGACCTCCTCAAAAGTCACCCTCAAACTGGGTGTGAAGGACAACCACCCAAAAGTAATTTGGGAACCCCTCAAATGTTCAAGTTTCACAGAACAGAACAGGAAAGGGAGGCAAGTTGAGATTCACCCATGGCTTAACTTTCTTTCCCAAAGCAAATCAACCTTTTGACTGCTTCTTGGAACGAGGAATATCAAAGCCAGCCACCAAACGAGACACAGTTGACATTTCAAGCACGTGGTAAACCATGGTAAGCCCACCCAACAAAAAAGGAAACAGGTGGAGAGTTGGTTGCTAGCCATAAGCCAAACAAGCTTAAGTTTTCTTGGAAAACAACATTCCGGATGCACCTCCCAGGTATCCCACAACCCGACTTAGACCCCTCCGAGCGACTGGCAAGAACCCAACATCAGATCCAACCAGGGGGCTTTGGTGCAATGGCAGCGTGTCCACAAGCGGGGAGGGTGTAAGCTCAAGTCCTACTGGCTCTATGCCACCGATGACTCTGGGCAAAAATTAAGACTGGCATGCACAGCCTGCAGCTGCTTCGCACACAACAGGTAGCGGCCTGGCCTTGAGGTAGCACTGGTAAGGCCCCCCTCCCCCCACCAAAAAAAAGAAGAAGCCAGAAAGCAAAAAGGTTCCCATTCTAGGAACACTGGACCGCAATAAAGGGTGCCCCACCAAAACAGGGGTTCCACATGTTCGCGGTCCCAAAGCGGAGGGTCCATTTTTAGAGAAAACCAAATCCACCACTGACACTTCAGACCTTCCCCACCCGAAAACATCCACGGCCCAGGGGTTCTTCCGCCCCTGCTCCGCCGGCAAGCTTCGGCGCTGGGACCTGAGGCAGTGCCGTGGACTTCTCGCAGCCTTCGCCGCGTTTGGAGCTGCAGCGCTGCGGGCCCCCCACGGCCCTCCAGGCGCGGATCCGGCCAGGCGCACAGGTTGGCAGGTGTTGGCGTTGTGGCGGTTTGGGAACGGAGCTGTGGAGCGCGGATTTTCGGTGGAGCCGCAAAAAGTGTAAAACTTGGCGCGGAGGGGTCGTTGCAGCAACCAAGCCGGGGATTTGATGTGCCGGAAGGTGTCCATAGCAGCACTGAGAGCTCCTGTGTTAGTGTTTCTTGAGTTCCGTAAGGCGCAGCCTTCCGAGCGGTTAAACGAAAAGGCCACGACTCACAACTCGAGCTGTCCTTTGGCAGCTGATGCTTTGTGCTTTTTTCGGCGCACCAAACTCGAACAGTGCAAATATTGCTTGACAAAGCTGGCTATTGATCTCCTGACTTAGTCGGGGCTTTGGCTCTTCATCAGGTTATGATATGTCCCTTTTGAGTGGTTGAAGGCTCACCTTGGATTCAATAGAGCGCTTCCCTTTCCAAGGGCGATGGTTCAAAAGTGCGATGCACCCAATCATCGAAGTGGACAGGATAGATGACCTAACCTTTTCTCGACCCCGAGGAGCCCCCAGCCTCGCCTTACGCAAAACAAAGCCAACTGCATCGCGCCTTCCAGGGACTCGCGGAGGAGGAGTCCTGAAGCTCGGCAAAAGGCGTGGAGCCATTTTGGAGCCCATGTCTTGGTTGCTCGATCGGGTGAATGAATTGGTGACCCCATGAAACAAGGGGACAAAGGGTGGAATCCATTGCCAGTGTTGCGAACAGGGTGAGTGATTGGTCAAGCATTTCGAATTGGAAGGGGGGTATTGTTTTTTTCCATCACATCGTGGCCATGAAGTAAAAGGGGAACCTACCTAACATTGGCAAGGCTCTCAATTTGGGTACGAGGGTCGGGCCATGTCGGGCCACATTTCCGAGTTAGGGGTTGGGGGGTCTAATCTCCTGGCCGTGGATGGAAATTCCTTGACAAAACCAGCTTGCAAGTTCAAAGTTGATGGACGTCACACATAATAAATTTTAGACTGTTTGCCTGCGAATCTCTGCGCCCAGTCAGCTCGTGCGGTGCGGACTTAGGTGAAGTGGAAGATGCCGAAGGTGGGTCGCAGATGGAGGCATGGTCCAATGGTTCTTTGTCTCTGCCTTCGAGGTGAGCTCCGATACCTCACAGCTGCACCCTGTTCCAGTCCCTTAACCGGGTGAAAGCATCATATAGCACCTGGTAAGATTCATGGTGGCTTGCTATAGTAATTGGGTCCACTGGGTCAGGTGGGCCAAGTATGATCTTACAATGATCTTGTTGTTTGATGCAAGTTTGCCTGAGTCGTTGGTTGACATGTACTTTAGGGGCCGATGGCTTTCACGATTTGTTTTCAGGTGCCCTACGGAATGTGCGCTTGTCATCCTACGTGGGGCATGGCAGGGAGGAGTTGGGCGGAGTGCAAAGTTTTCCACCCGAGCTGGTCCTCGCCCTGCACACTCCCCAAAGCTGACAAGCACCCGCTGCCTATTTTGCAGCGAGCTGGGGTTGAAACAAGCTCACCATGATGCTCCGTGATGGGTGTTTTCCGGGGATCCCTTGTTTAAATAGTGGTATAATTTGCAGATTGGAAGTTGCGGATTGGAAGGCAATCACGGCAACCGCCCTGATTATACTTTCTTGAGCCGGTTGCTCTCTTGCCTCTGCAGCACCCCTTCATGGGGCAGACTTAGGCTCCAAGTTCAGACAAAATGTGCCATGTTATCCATCCCATGCTCATTTCACCTTATTTCTTCCCACTGAAATTTCAACAACGATGAGGAAGACGCCTTTTCAAGTCTGACCCTTTCAATAAAGCCAGATCCATGCTTGCCAAGGCCTTCCGTTGTAAGGTGACGGCTGCCAAGTGGATCCCGCATGAACCTGGCTACTAGCGGAATAATTGGGCAGTGCAGCCACCCGAAGCCAAGGAGCCCACTCAAACGAAACCATGGTTTCTTCCCCTATCAACCAATTTACCTTTCGGTGGCAACCCCAAATCCTTTCAGACCCATAGGAAACTGACAACCATGTGTTGATTTGTCGGGGCCATCCCGGCCCCCAATTCATGTACGACAGGGGTCCACATCCTTGAAGCGGGCGCCTGCTCATGCATGTCCTATGTGCTTCCCTTGGGGCATAGCTTATGTTCCTGGTGGGGGTTGCGCCTTGTTCACAATTGGCTATGTGTCAAACTGGCTGGGAGCGGTGACCCCCAAGAAAGGGGCACCTTCAAAAACGCAACGGACCCACTTCGTCCTGGGACCCCATTCCATGCACGCTTCCTTGCGGCATGGCCCTACGCGCGCTGCTCCTGGTCGCTGCGGCCGAAACTCGATGGCAATGAGTTCGTGTCCCGGGGTGGTCGATCGCCCAAAAAATGGTCGGCACCTTTTGGCGTAGGTCTACTTTGGGCTTTAAAAGGCGGCCAAGCCTCATGTTGGCCAACAACCACTTCGGTCTCCTTGGGCTCCCTTGCAGGGATGCGGTTTTGATTCTTCCTGCCCTTCCGATCGAATCAAACAGGCGCAGTCCTTTTGGCGGCAATCAATTGGATCCCTGAAGGCACAATTGTGGAACAACTCGTGGCTTTTGGGCTGCAAACTTCTGTGATACCAAGTTGGCATTCCCTTTCAAGCGATAAACTAGTTGTGGGAGTTCGTCGAATTTCATCGATTTCCCTTTCTAGAGTCGCTTCTAGGAAAACCAAAAGGACCCCCAGCATTTTGGATTCCCCGATTTGGACACATGCTCGTGCGCTTGGATTGGGATACTACTTTGGTATTACAGGATTTTGCCCGCGTTCCGCGAATGGTGCAAGTCCCAGATTTTGTTTTGCGTGGAAGCACCCTTATACATGGAACAGGGCGTATCCCAATAAAGTTTAAAAGGACGTGCCCCCCCCCCATTTTTGGTTTGTGGGCAGAACGGAGGCCCTATCAATTGGACATTGGCTTGTTGGTTGCTTTTAATCGAATAACGTGTTGCCCATGTTGCCCACACGAGCAATTATGTAGGCCCATATGCGGGGGCACATGTTTCCGCGGTGGGAAATCTTGGAGCGGGAAATTGTCAATGGTAATGGGCTGGGACGAGTCTTGCCTGGAGGTAACAACCACATCACATGATCACTGTTGAACTATGCCCATGGTGAAGATTTGTGCACCAGCCTCTTATGAGGCGGTGGAGGTGCCTTTTTGCCACTTGGAGTGGCTGGAAGCTGTGGGCTGCCCACGCGAGGAGCATGGTATTGACTGGGAGGCGGCTGGGGGAGGGTTTGGTCTACTTGCTGAAGATGTTTCAGGGATTGTTTGCTGGTTTGCTTGATACGTTGTCCTTGTTGAAGAGTCTCGTAATCCAGATGTCGGAGATTATTCGCAGCCTTCGAGCTTCGCGGGTTCACAGGCTTCCAGGCAGCGCTGCGTCCACGATTTATGGCTCGCTTAGCTGCTTTCCCACCATTATTTCGAGCAGATGCACGGCGTGATCGAATACTTTTCTCAACAAAGGATCGTCTTGCTTGGTGGAACCTGTGCAATTTTACATAGGCCTCCTGCACAAGATTCCTTTCTGTCTTTGAGCTTGCAAATTGCCAGAAGCGACCTTCCCACCCCACCCCACCCACACCCACACCCATACCCATACCTACACTTACACCCGCACCTATACCTACACCCACACCCACACCTTACCCCACCCCACTGCATCCTGCCTGCCCAGGCTTCTGGCCTGTTGCTTGATTCAGGCGGTGTTGGATTAATGTGCGCCGGGACCAGCGTGGAACATGGGCCGTAGACCTTGTGGAGCCTCTCCAAAATCTATTCCATCTCCCCCGCCCCGTTGCCGGATGGGCCCGTGGCCCTTCCCAAGACGGGAGGCCCAATTTGCCAATGCGCTCTTGAGCAAGTGGCGTCCAACCGCATCAACCGCGGTTTCCCAGAGCGACCTGGGGGAGCTGCAACCTCAGCTTGGGTTCCTTCGGGGTGCTCCCCTGTTGGGTCGATGGTTGCCTCAGCCAAAGGCGACTGCTGTAAAATGAAGGATTTTTTGGGAGCCCCGAGCAGCCGGTTGGTAGGGGAACCAAGAGGACACCAATAGTTCTTCAAGAACAACGGGAAGCCACGGAGGCTTCTGCACGAAGATGGCCTCGGCTTTCCAGGTGTTCCTGGCGAGCGCCTGTGAGAAGTGCAAGGCGGACGAGCCCTGCCGCCTCGAGCCAGAGGACAAGTCGACAATTGCCACCGGGGGGAAAGAGGTGCTCAACTTTGCCTTACTTTGGTCTGAGAAGGCTTCTTGAGGCCCCTAAATGGAAGATTGGCCTCATTTTGGCCCGAGAGGCAGCAATTCAACCCCAATCCTCTCTTGGGGGGGTTTGGAGTTCCCAAATGTCCTTGCCAACAGTGAGGGAAAGCGTCCGTTGCCCCACAAGGGATTGTTGCCAACGTCCAGTGGAATATCCTGTAGCTGGCTACTTCTTAGAATGATGCTTTTTTCATATGCGGCACTGGCCAGGATGCAGCATACATCTTGGCTCAGGAGGTAACAACTGGCCAGAGCCCAAGAGATGTGCGTTTCGCCGCCTGACACCGGCATGGACGGGCCCCTGTTTAGTCCTATCATCCCTTGTTAGTGGTTGAGGGCTTTGGCCTATTGGCACGTCGAGCACCAAGGTCTGGGCTTGCTCGGTTCACAGCATGCAAAAAGAAAGTCCCCCAAACCAAGATTCTTCTAAACATGTTGTGACTTTCTGGGTTCCAGTTCCAAGTTAATCGGGAAAGTAACTGTCCTTGGCTAGCAAAGTGCCGAGCACCGAAAGTCATGCGGACCTGAGCACCCATGGGCCAGATACACAAGTCAAATCGTATCAAGGGCGCATGCTGGAAAATCAAACTGGCTCAGCCCAACTCTGCTTAGATTTCCGCCCAAGAGGCCCAGGGCGGATCCAAGCGGAAGAACGTGGGTCATTTGGCACATGACTAGCGCAAATAGGACCCCGGATTTAGCAAGGCTACCCCCAAGGGGTCGGTTTAAGGAAAGGCTCAAGCTAGGGCTACGCAAGGTTTAGCCTTGGGTCCAATGACCACGGTGCCAACGTACGTGTTTTTTGAGCCACAGCCAAATTTTGACACCAGCCGTTGACTTCGAAGTCCACCCAGCCTAGACCGAACCCTCGTCCGAGTCTTTCTTCGTCTCTCGCAGGCTCCGAGGTGCAAGCCTTCCGCTGCGCCGCGGGGCTGCTGTCAGCGATGATCATCGTGGCGCAGTGCGGTCCCAAAGCGGGGTCCAAGGGCCGTGGGAAACGGAGAAAGAAAGCTCCTGACTTCAGAGAAATTGGCTGAAATGCACTTAGTGTAGTGTTCCTTTAAGTTGGTTTTGAAGGGAAAACATCACGTTTCTGGAAATGTTTTTTTTTTTTTCATTTTTGGCCGTGGGGGCTTGAGCAGATGGAAGCTGATGTTGCCTTCTTGACTTTGGTTGTCCACCGTGATGTTGAAGGAACAAAGCAGCTGCCAAGCGAATGGAATCCGCGGATCGTCCTGGGCAATTGTTTTAAAGTGATTGCTGGCGTATGCGAGTAGGTACTTCTTGGTGAAGTCGCCTGTGCCGGAGCAGCTGGATGGTGTGTTAGGCAGGGGTTCATTTGCTCTGACTACTTTATTGTGAGCTCAGCTGGAGGCAAACCGTGCTTTTTATGACGTAGGCCCCACGCAGGCCCCTTACAAGTGTGGTGCTCATGCATGTCCTCTTCCATCCAGTAAGAAGCCCAGCTTGTTGCAGGGTGGCGGATCCATTTGGCCAAGAGACAAGTGCAGGAGACGACTGGGTTTTATACCTCATGTGTTGTTACCAGAGACCCGCCCCCCCCCCCCCCCCCCGGTGCGTTTGACTTCATTGAGACGTCATGCAGGCAGAGGGAATCCAGGATTGATACATGGGGGATGTAGACCCATCCTTCTCTTTTGGGAAACGCCCCAGATAAAAACCAGCGGTTTATCCCTCGGTGATGGGTTGTGAGCCACATGTTTGCTGCCATGAGGGGCCGCTGTGGTAAGATCTCCCTCGGTCCATTCAACCAACACCCAGCTTTTTGCGTGGTGAGTTGCGGGCTGAACACTGTTTCCATGGCAGCTACTTTTTGGAAGCTTCCTTCGCCTCGGCTCAAGATGTTCCACAAGCCGTTTGGCCTGAAACATGCAGCATATCGAGGCTTTGAAGTTGGCTCCCACGAGGCCCGTCGCCAGTCTCCGTCAATCCAACTTGCAATCACATGGAAAAGCACTGCGTGGATCCTAGTTGTTCGGCCCAACAAGCAAACCCAAAGGGCGAGCCAATAAACCAGAAGGCAATCCAAGTTAGCCAGTGGTGCCCTTTCTTTGTTGTTTCTCTCTCTTTTTTTGGGGGGGGGTTCCCTTTACAGTTAACCAAAAGGAAGGCGCCCCCTTTTTCATTGGAATCCACTGTGCTGAATCGCCAGATATCGCCAGGCAAGGCGTCCTCCTTGGCGCCGTTCCCCTTCTACACCTCGCAGTACAGCCGCTACTCCAACATGGTGCCGGTGAACCTGATGGCTTGCACCCCCGGCGCGCTTTCGAAGTTTGCGGGCAAATCCGAAGGGTTGGGCGAAACGCACGGAAGGGAAGCCGCATGTTTTCGAGGGCACCGGTTCTGAAGGGAACCCAAGAAGGAAAACCAAGTTTTTGGGGAGGCCCCTAAAAAACAACACGCCCGCCTTCCAAGAGTAGTCTTGTGATGCCCTTCAAATGATTCCGACTGTCATAGATGCAGAACCTGTGAACCTTTTGGGGCGCAGAGCTGGAGCGCGAGAGGGCCGTAGCGTGGAACAAGAGTTGGCAACCGCGCATAGCAAGCAAAGGCCCTCTTGAGCACCAACAAAACACATGTTGCAAATATCTTAGCCACTTCACGGCGCGAAAGGACAAACTATGTTGGTTGCTAACTGTTGGAAAGAGAAAATTGCACGCCTGCCAAAGCACGAACTCAATTATTCTGGCCTTTGCGCGAACTGCTACACTTTCCGCGAGCATCTACATGCTTCATTGCTTCTTGGAGGAACCCCGGTTTGAAACCTAATGATGTTACGGACGAGGCCCATTCTCATCCCGCCAGTTCTTGGTTCCTGGCTTTGCAGCCGGGAGTCATGGGATTCAACCCGCTCGGAAAGTATCCATAGTTGCAAGTTGTGGACAAAAGTCAAGATTGTTATGTATGTAGAAATGAATATGTATGTATAAATGTATATATAGGTGTGTGTGTGTGTTTAACAGTAGACTACTTTCGAAGTTGATTGATCCAAGTAGGCCTTAATGCACATTCGTCAGACCTCTTCTGATAGCCTGGCGCAAGCCCCCTCGTTGGCGCTCACGTCTGGTGCCAGGCGATTTGGGGCAGCAGTCCAGCCCCAAGTTGTTCAACAGGCCGGGAACGAAACCGCCCGGTCTCGAAATTGGACCCGGGGGGGGGGGGGAGACATTGCCATATGGCATGATGTCTTGAATTGGGCCCGGGGGGGGTGGGAATTGCCAGCGCCAGCATGATGTGTGCTTGAGACCCTCGCGGAAACTATCTTGAATGAGAGTCACATGTTTGGAAACAACCCGCTTCATAGCCTTTTCTTGTGCCTGCGCAGAGATTTGGCTGGCGGGTTGGGTGCGATATGTTCGGTTGTCCGGCTTAGTTTTGCCTTCTTAACGGCTGCTTGGTTTTTGGGGGATCCCTGCAAAGAATCCGGAGCCTTTTCCGATCGGAGACGGCTTTGAATTCGAGCACGGAACACCCTCATGGCAGACAGCACCATACGAATGACGTCCACCAAAGCGCCCTCAATCTAATTTCTTGCCCATCACCTCACAATTTTCTCTTCGTGGTTTAAGGTTTGCCACTTGCTTAGCTTAAAACATTGCTGTTAAGGCTGGTTTGCCCACCCCATCCATATCGACGCCTCCGACAGGTTTGTGCCGCGTGTCCACGCGGAGGACTCGGGCTTGTGTGGCCTGGTCTACACGGACGACCAGCTGGTGAGACGGTGCCGCTCGATGCGGAAGAACGTGGCTCGGCTAAACATTCGAGGCACTGAAGCTTCTGGTTTCAGGGATGGGTCTTGGAGGTATGAAGGTTGTATACCACTTAGGCAAAGGGCATATGCTGCGCTACAAACTAATACTGGCGGCTGAGGGGATTTGAACCCCCGGTTTTTGTAGCGGGTAAGTGGGAAACCACCCTGGAGCACCTAAACGGGTGAGCCCTCTTTTCCTATGGGAATTCCTTGGAGGGCGAACGAACTTCCGGACCTTGGGCCAAGGCAAATGTACCAGATCGCATCACAGATGCTCTGGCTGCTTGGGCAGCAATCCACTGTGGCGAGACATGTGAGTTTGTCTTGCAATGGTCAGGGCATGTTAGGGCTCGCTTCTGGATGGTTTTTGAACAATTCAAAAGCAAGCAGTGCTGCCACTTTTCGAGATCAGCCAGGAATTGTTTGACTTACTCCATGGTGAGTTCCTTGCGAGCTGCCAAAACACGAGAGTTCCCCCATAAGATGCGTAGCTCAGTTGCCTGTGCGGTAGCTCTGGGCAGCTGCTGGTTTTCACATATTCTGACTCCATACGCGTGACAGCATTCACCCAACTTGGTCCTGATTCGCAGAGACGTTGCAAGCTTTTTGAGGACCACATCCAGTGCCCAACTTTTGGCGACATGCCTCTTGGCTTGATTGCTAGGCACGGCCTGATCTGAGAGGATATGGATGAGGCCGTTTCATGCAGACCGTTTGCTCACTCCCTGAGCTCAGGGACTTTACCACTTTTTGGGAAGACATTTTGTTTTGCCAACATAAAGTTTTCTGTCTGTTCTCTAATCCACTGAAGAAGTGAGTCTGTTTGAGTGTCAGTTTCTCTCAATTCTTCCAGCCCTTGCTGAGGGCCTTTGGACCAAGAAGTGAGCTGTGGGCCTTGTGTGGAAGGCAATATTCTAAGGTTTTCAATTGAAGTCCACACAAACAAGGAATTCCCAATGTTGACCACAGCATTGTTGGTAGACTTGTTTTGTTGGTCATGCACCTGATTCATTGCCCACTGCACCGTGCATGTCTTTTGTCGACTGCTCAGAAAATAAGACCCCAGATCTGCCAAAATGAATCCAGCAAGTTCACTTGGACGCTGCACACCGAATGGTCCGCACGACGCATGTGGCCATTTCGCCGGAGCAGTTCAAGAGGACATAGACATGCATGCATATGCTTATTTGTTCACCGTGAAATTGTCTAGGCGCTGAGCCGCACACCCCCCCCCCATGTGTGTCATTTTCACCTTGACTTCCCTTTGAACACACGAAACAAACCAGACCTTTAGCGGCGTCGCCATGTCCACCGGTCGAAGGGTACCCTCAAACCACGGCTGAGGTTGGTAGATCAGAAGTTGGGCAACAAGATCCGGAAGTACGAGATGCGCGCCAACCAGCGGCTCGACGGTGAGCCCGACCCGGCTGCCCCTTCAATCCCTACGCCGGCTGCCGGGAAAATGAATCCACCAGCGCATGGATGGGATCCCCTTGTACAACTAGTGGTGTTACCCTACATGGAACCCCTTATAGAGAAAACATGACTTGGACCCCCCATATCCTATTTTGGTGGGTGTGAAGGTACGCTTACTCTGCTATGTACGGTTTGGGTACGTAACATCACCTGCCTTTGGGGCTTCCGTTTCTGTCCGTCCGTGTTTTTTTTTTGCATTCGGGGTGGTGTTTCTTGTTTCTGGGCACTCATGTCTTGCTTGAGGCTGGAGTGCCCCCGGAAGCCCTACTTCCCGCACAGTTGCTTTTCTCGGGGGCTGCCGCAGGTTTTTGAACGCCTAGGCACCTATATGGGTATGTGTCAAAATAGGGGACCCCCGAAAATGTGGCTTTCCATATTTGGTTTCCATTTAAACCAGCTTGAAAGGGTTCCCTCAAAAGCACCAGCCTACATCATCGTTTGCCCTTCCACGTTTAGACCATTTAGAGCATTATTTGGTTTCCATTTGAACCAACCTGAAAAGGTTCCCTCGAAAGCACCAGCCCACATCATTGCTCGAGTCGAACATGGCCCTGCATGCCTTGCCATGCTCCTTTGATTCTGCGTGCCTGTCAAGATCACGCCCTCCTGCCTCGTTACCTTGACAAGTGGGCCACGGAGGACCAGATTTCGGGCCTTGATTTTGCCATGAAGTGGTAGGAGGGGAAGCCTTTTTGTAAAGCAGCAATTCGGTTACCAAAGAGATCATTCGAAGTTCCTGGTGGACGGCGCAGTCGTTCCATGGTGCCCTTTCTGTTTCCTTTGTTTCGCTTTGTGTTTGAAGGATTCCGCACAACAAAACGTTGTCATCCCGAATCCCGAAAAGTTTCCCTTTCTTCTCAGGGCCACTGGTTGCAATTTGTGTCCTGTCGGTTGAATATATATATATATATACTTGGCCTTGTTTGTTGACGACCGTGGGCAAGTCGCAGAGGCTGCAATGCCAAGACTCGCGGGGCATGTGGCACGAGGCCATGAGCGACGTGCACAAGTGCGCGCCTGGGTGCTATTGGAAGGGCATCGGGGAAGCCGTTGGCAGGTTGACCTCTGATTGATTAACTTGGATGGATGCGCAGGACCCACAGAAAAGGTGAGAAGGATCCTTTGGCTAACCAGGGTTGGCAACTCTCTGGTCGGTTCCTTGTTAGATGGTGACAGGGTGGCAGCGCAGGAACGTCCCATGAGATCGCTGTGGCCGTAGTAAAGCCAATATAAGGCTTTACAACCAGATTGGTTCTTGTTCTGCTTTGTTGCCCATGTTCTGGTTTGTTGCCCATTTAGTGGAATGTCCTGTGCCCCAGACACGCTAATTGTCCTCATGGTTTCCCATTAAAACCACAAGAAAGGAGTACGTCATCAAACAAAACACGTCTTGAGGTATCAACACCTCAGCGCCAAACACTTCCCCAGCGGCCGAGGTGTTGATCACAGTGGCCCACTGGCTGCGGTTTCGGCCCAAGGAGCTGGTTCTGGACTGGGGCTCCGGCTGCGGCCACAAGCGACTTGGCAAAGGGCCAGTGAGTCCATGTCCCTGTGTATAGTACGTAACCTAGGGAACCACCTTTTAAAAACCAAGAGGAAGCTGGCCGGTTACCTACTATAATATAGTATAGTGGCAATTGAGATTCGCTGTGAGGCCCAAGCCACCCTGGTATTGGAAGAGCCAATCCAACTTGTTTTCTGGCGCATGGTCTTTGAGAGTCGGATGTTCCCACACCGAAAAAGATCTTAGAGCTGAGAGTTGTTGGCAACCCCAAGGCCAAGAACCATGTTTGAGGAGTTTGCGGGTGAACTTTTGTGGTTCTGTTTTCGGTCTCTCAGTCAAGCAGTGAGAAGGCTTCTCCTCCTCAAACTGAGGCTGTCTTGGGCGAAGATGCTCTTCGATGTGGATGGCCTTGGGGTTGAGATCCAGGCAGGGCTTCTCCGGCCGGATGCGAATTCACCCATGGCGCCCAGAGATTCCAGCTCGAATGAGCCTCGGATGGAGTTAGCAAACTAAAGCTGATTGCTGGAAGGTACGTCAAAGGCGAAGCTGCCTTCAAAGTGTAGTCACTGTTTTTTGCCTTGCTATCGAATGGCCGTTGTCTTTCAGGGGTTCTTCACCGTATTTAGGCCTCCCCCCAAGAGACAAACCGATCACGATAAAACAAACTCACCATAAAGACAAAACATCCGCCCATTCTAACACCAACTGACCATTCCGAAGAATCGACACCCAGCTTATCGCCATGAGCAAACCGCTTCCTTGGGGCGACGTTTTCGTTTGATCCGAGACCCCTCGAATCGATAGGAGCCGGCGGCGCGGTGGGCGCAGCGCCACTCTGCAGGGAAGTTCTGTCATGGGGACGGGAGGAACCTGTCCTGGGTGCCTGAGGACAGGGGGTTACGGATGCGAGATCGCTTGTCTGATCTGTTTGCTTCTTTTATTTTTGAGCTCACCTGGGGTTGCGGGTGGGGGGTTTAGACTTGGGATGGTTCCACCGATTCAGGGATAAAACGAACTTGTCGGTCCTTGACCTGGGGATGCCTTCAGAGTTTGCAACTGGTATGGAACCTGCAGATAGGCCGTGACTTTTATTCGGCAGACGGATCATTCTTCAATTTTCCAGGCCAGCACGTGGCAATGAAGCGAAGCGTATGGTTGGTATGATAGTACAACAAATGGAAAATTGAGGGACACGTGATGTACGGAGTGGTTGGAAAGTTCAGGGGGGCAAATGCGCCATGATCAAAACACGTTTTTGATAGGGGTGGATGTTCACACCTGATTGCTAGGATTGTTTGGGCAACAGACCTTGATTGAGCTGCAACCATTTTGAGAGGTTTGGCCCGCGATTCCTCCCTTGGTGCCTTTACAGCAAAATACACTGCATAGATGGCGCAAATCCCTCTTGTCCAATTGTCGCTGAGTAAGCGGCATGACTCCACCCAAAATGGGGACGCATGCCATTTTTCCCCCGACCGTATGCAGTCCGGGCACTTTGTGCGCGAGGACACCTTTGACCATGTGATCTCTTATGCCTCTATCTACCACCTGGAGAGAGAGGAGCAATGTGCCCTGGCCTCGAGCTATCAGTTTTTGTTGTTTGGCTCCAGAGAGTCCCTTCAAAAGGAAAACGGTTTTCCCGGACCGTCAGCCAAGTTCCATGTTACTAGATGGGAGGGTACTGACATAAGAGTTGTCATATTGACAAGCTGGTCTTAGAAATCAGGTCTTTGGGGTAGGTTTGATTTGGGCTCGATGCCCTCAGGAGGAAAGCCATGATTTTGGAGTCGCCCTATGTTGACAATTACCCATCACCAAACAAAGCTTCATAGTGTATAAGCCTCAAGAGCTAGTGTTGAAGGCCCTGGCGTTGTTCGCAGTGAGTTCCCATGTAGAAACTCCGAACTGTTGGGGAAACCCGCACGTTCCGCCAGATTCGTGCATCGAGGGTACCATTGGGTGAAAGTACAGGCCAGAACCTCCCTTGGGCTGTTGTCATCCTTGCGGACATGAAGCGAATGGAGGGAATGGATGATATACAGCCTGTGTCCTGGCTCTCCTCGGAGCATCCCACACCGGCACGGGGGCCCCCCCGCTGGCCTCGAGAGAGGCAGTGTGGGGATCCAGCTGGTCCGGAAGCTGAAAGTTGGCGGCCGGGCCTTCCTCGGATGGAACCACGGGCCCAACATGAGCCACCCGGCGATCGAGAGGTGGGCGATTTTTTTGCACCAGGTAGGTGTTTATCCGCCCCGAAACTCCTGGCTTTTCCCATGTTTTGGAATGGGATTTTTCTGGGACTTCCTTGGGCCTCTTCGTTTCACCAGTCTTGAGGGGGCCTCCTGTAAAGTCAACGTCCGAAAAAAGGTGCCCGTTTCCCCCGTGGCCTCTGGCACTGAATGGCATGCACAGTTTAGGAAAGCTCAACCCCAATGTCTTTTCATGTCTTTTGCTATGGAAGGGGGGGCACCGATTTGTGTTCTACCTGCGCGCTTGGACAGACCGCATTCTCAGCCTGAGCTCCGATTCGAGGCAACTGGGAGTGGCTCATGTGCTTTCGGGATAGCCCGGGCGCCCAGGCACGGGCTTTGGCTATGTGGGGAGAAGCGGCGACGTCGATGGCACCCTTCCCGCCCACCCGTTTTCCCTGGCCCATTGCCCCAACCATACGGCCTCAAGGCCGCCAGAAGGAGCTCCAAGACTGGATTGCCATTGGGGGCTCTTCAGACTACTTTTTGGGGATTTCCCTTGGACCCACAAAACATATAGAAACTTTTTGCAGAGGCCAAGAAGTTCGGTCGCGCAGCGCCCGTTCAAGGCGCCCGAGGTCATAGCTTGGCCAAAGAGAACGGCCTGGCCGGCGGGGTCGAGGTGGACTTTGATGCCGTGGAGGACGGTTACCTGTTCCCGCCCCACGCGCGCGTGCTGGAGGACTCGAGTGAAGCAATGGGCCCTGGGCCATGATCAAATCTTGCTCCAGGTTGGTCGGTTTGGTTAGAACCTTTGGTCAGGGAGTTTTAGACGACCAATGTAAGGTTTCCTGTTGAAGGGAGCATTGACCATGACCCACAGAAGGAGTGTTGACCCTGTTGCGCATAGAAGTTGGTTCTTGAAGTTTTACCCGGCTTTTGTAATTGTGGAGCTCATTTTGCGCAAGATGTTCTTAGCAGGACAAGCGGTCCTTCCTGTACCAGTACCCGGCGTACTCCATTTTTTTGACACGGCTGGCCTGAACGGAGCTGTGTGAGAGATGGAGCAAACATCCCCACCCCCAAGAGGTAAAGGGATGATTGAGGTACCCTGACTCCTCCCTTCCTGAGCTCATGGGCTCCACACTTTTTGGGAAAACCGTTTGGCAAACAAACAGTTTAGATTTTTTCTTTGGCCCATCAACTCAGGAAGTGAGCGACAGGGACCCTCCCCCGGTTGAAAGCCAGGGGGTGAGGATGATCAACTTTTTCGTGGCGGAGGCAGGCTATGGCCGCGAAAACCCCGCCAGAAGTAGATGCCAGTGCATGTTGCCCCTACGAGTGTCTGAGCCCATGCGTTTCAAGGGGGGCAGAAGCTAAGGCCATCCATGTTAAATCGATGGATTTGGGCAAATCATAGCGAGTTACAAAGGTTCCGGTTTGCAACCTCACCTATGGAGAAGGGTTGCTTCGTTGGTGATGCTTGTCTTGGGCGGGCGAATTGCCATAATTCAATGGTATATGTATATGTACATACATATTAACTAAATATATATATATATATAAACATGATGGATTGTGCCAGAATGTCGGGATGTGTCCATCGCCAAAAGCGTCCTCCTTTTACGCAGCCCTGCATCTCATTTGTGTCCATCAAGCACGGTCGGTTAATGGAGGTCACCTTTCTGTTTTTAGCGGCCTGAGTGGGACACCTTTGAGATATCCACGTTTAGATGTTTGTGTTTTTGTTTTGCCGCATCTCGGTGGTGACTACCGGTTCGCATTGCGGAAGCCCTCGCAGCCAGCACTTCTGCGGGTCGATTCGGATGATGGCCTCCATTGCAGGAAACTCCAAGCAACAGATCCCCGCAGTGCCCAGGGTGTTTCGCTCAATAAGCCCACGTGAGCGAACTCGAATCTTAGGAACTATTGCATCCATTGCTTCACGGTCACAGCGAGCAGCACATGTCTGACCCAAAAGAACACATCTCGAGCTGGTGGTACAAAAGATTGCTGGCATGTGAGTACAGTAGGTCGGCCATGTTCAGATGCTTGCCGCACATGGAGATCACATGGAGCAGGCCTTGGCCATTAAGGACAAACAACCGAATCCAAGACCCGACTGGCATGTCAGACGCGAGGGTGGCCCGGCCTGCTTTTGCGCACGTTTGCGCGTGAGCTGAGCCCTAAGACACATCGGGGCTTTCGAGGAAAAGATGGAGCCGAAGGAGCTTGGATCGTGTTAATCCAAATTGGTCCTCCGGCGCTTGTTGGGCTCAGCTGTCTTGGATTCAACGAGGGAATTTGACTACTTGGAAAGCCAGACGTCGAGTGGCGCCCAAATGTTTGTTCTGAGGGTCGCCTTCGAACTCAACTCCCAAACACTTTCTGGTTTGCAGGAGAATCAAAGCAACCACCCCTATGAACCGGAATCCGTGTAGAGTGCATCGGAAACGCTCTTTCCTTATTAGGAGGTGTTTGGCCCCTGGAATCAGGCGCTCTTGTATCCTTCACGTTTTCCAACTGTTCAAGGGACCATCGGGTTCCGTGGGAGGGTACGGTTTTGGATGTACCCGCCAGCTAACATGGAAAGTGCACAAGGCCCCTTTCCAAGAGGAATGTAGTCTTTCCACAGGCGTCTGTGCACAAGCCCATGTTAGTCGGTGGGAGGGTGTGCTTTTTGGACCCCCAGTTCCTTTTGAAACCAAATGGTGAAGGTGGCCCCGAACAGCGAAACTACCAAAGCGAAACACCAATCACTCAGCCAGCCAGTGGACACACTTCACACTTTTTTCTTGGTGGCTCGCTCTCCCTTTATTTTAGTGGTGGCCCAAAGAGTGTACACTATTTTTTGGGCTGGTCACTAGCCAAGTGAGATTAGGGGGAAGCTGATGTAAGAAGCCTTTTTTCCCTCTCCGCCGACGAGCATGGCACCCAGTGGCGTCCCCAGGGAAATTCGGGTGAACCGCAGGCGGATGTGGTGCTGGGCTGCGACGGCGTGGCTTCTGCCGTGCGCGCGGCGCTGCAGAAGCAGGGGGCGCAGGCGCAGCAGACTCGATACAAGGCCTGGATTGAATCAGCTCGTCGCTCAATGAAACCCGTTGCTTCCATTGGCTTACGAATATCTAGGTCCCCCAGCAGTGCCCTTTCACCCTTTATTGGGGGAGGGTTCCGCTACAAAATTGACTACAGAAAAAAGGGTACCCTTTCTCTAACCTCTCTACTAGAGGACCTGGATGTGGTTTTTCCCTTTTCGGTGTTACAGGGAATCTATCACGGGGGCTTTAGGAAATGAAAGGTTGGGGGGTGAGTCAAAAATAGGTATCCCACCAATGAACATGGAACCTGACAGCAGGTCCCTTCAAAAGGAAAGTTGTCTTCCAGGACCCCCCTGTCAGGTGCCAATTGGTGGGAGGGTACCCAAAACGGGTTGCCCTGGTAAATGGTCCTTTGGTGGCTTAATTTTGACCAATAGCCTTTGGACAATTAATTAACAGGAACCCTGGGCACTGAGCCAACTTCCTAAGTTTTCTGGCCTCACTTCCCCAGTGGGAGGGTGGATTCACTTCCCAGGGGGCCACGCAAAACCCAGACTTGGTGTTCGTCCTGTGCTTGGATCCCCGAGATTCGCCGAAACGGGTTTCAGGTCTTGTCATGTTCCACCAGCGTCTCGGTGAATCCAGATTTTTGGGCGGGGGATGGCGGGGGGTTCTTTGTCAGCACTTCGCAACAGTCAGATGTGGGGGTTCCAGGAGTCTCAATGACCCTCAAAAAATCGGTTCATTACCCAAAATAATGGGGTCATGGGCCCATTTTTTTGAAGAATCTAAGTTGATTTTGCCTCAGGACCGGCGGCCCATTGTTTACCGAGTCATGGCCATCCCCACGGGCAAGGACTCGCTCGCTCTCCGGACTCGGGTGTCTGACCTGCGGTTTGGGCCCCGGTCCCTTGCGTGGGGCTTTGAGGAGTTAACAGGAGTCGTTTGGTACCTCCGAAGGCTCCCCTTAGCCTTTTTTATATACACTACACTGGGCTTGGAAAGGGTTTGGCTCCGACCTCTACCTTTTCAACCTTTTTCCTTGAGTTTCTCCTTGAGACAGGAGAAATAATAGCTTTTGCAGGGAGGAAGGCCCAGTTTAAATATCAAATTCGGGGCGGTATTGGGCATTCAAACCAGGCCAAGATCCCACTGCCAGCTTCAGGAGGACCGTACGGACCTCAACTACAGCGCTCGCAACGACAACGCCGCTTGGCCAGCGCTCAAGAAACAAGGAGAGAGGTCAGAATTGCACTTTTGTCTCATAGGGGATTAGATGATTGAGCATAGTCAAGCATAGTTTCTACCTCCACAACCCCATTCTAATTCATCAGGGCCTTCCAGTTCCGGCAGGCCTGGGCGTTCCAGTTGGCATATTGCGGGCCTTCAAGGCCCCCTCGGGTCTTTATATCGGTTTTCCAGCTGGATTGAAATGGATCGGCCAACGGCAACATTTTTTCCCCAACAGCTTGGGGGTCTCAGCCCAGATAGGCTCGGGGTAGTCCGGGGCGGCCCTGAGGTAAGGTTCCACGAGGGTTCCAGCAGGGTTCCACCGGAGTTCTGGGAGGGTGCTGTTGGGGATATCGCCTGAGCTTATTTTGGGAGGGGGGGCCTGGAAGATCAATCTACGGTGGTTCATGTTCACATGCGGCTGCTTTCATTCAACGGTAGTTTGGTGACTGGCTCGCGGGCCTCAGGTCATTGTGGAGGCGCGTGGCTGATGGAGGGCGGTTTCGCGGCAGCCAACAGTTTTGGACACGGGAAAAAGAAGTGTTTGGAGGGTGCCAGTGTACACGCTGGAGGCTCCCCTTTGTTTTTGCCTCCATTTTTTTACCTCCCTTTTTTTAACCCTCGAACCCTTGTGAACCGTTTGCGGGAAGCTTGTTTCTCTAACCCTCAGAATGCTTTTTCTTTGGAACCCTCAGATTGTTGTTGTTATGTTTTTGTTCACCTCCGCCTTGTGTTTTTCACTACCGCTTGTTGTGTTTGCCAGCCGGCTGACCCGCCGCCCAAACCCTATGTTTAGCAACTTGTTCGTTGTCCTAGTTCCCCTTCTCTTGATGCGGACTCTCAAAAACCTTATGTTTTTATGCTTGTTCCTTCCACACCAGCGTTCATTTCATGCTTTTGTGCGGGAAAACTCCGTTTCTGTTTGGTCATTCATGAGCCCGAAACACTGGTTTCGGTCCGTTTTCCGCATAATTCGTGCAGGAATTTGCACATGGACTTCTATTTGTGGCAATTGTTGCCAGTTTTTTAAGCGTCCACGTGCCCGCCCGGTTCCTTGCGCACATGCTGGCACATATGTTGACGTGCCCGTCCACGAGCTCCATGGTAACTTGCGCACGTGCTGGCACATATGTTTACGTGCCCGTCCATGTGCCGGCATGGTTACTTGCGCACACGTACACGCGCTCACGGCGGACTTCTTTGGCCGTCATGCATGCGGACTTCTACATACATGCGCTCATGGCATGATAGAAATCTAACAGCCTCAAAGACGCACTGCGGCAGGCTTGGCCTGATGGTGGGTGCGAGTGACTAAATAAGACAAATCAGAATACACTATAAAACGCAGGGAATGTTCAACATGTCCGTTGCATGTTCGCATGGGCGGCGAGGCAGCCGGCTACCTTGTTTTTTATCCCGCGAGCTTGCTTTTTCACCCCCAACCTTGTTTTTCTCACCCTCGGCCCGGGTTAAACCAACCCTACACCAACCCTAAGCCGCCCTCAGCCCGATCCAAAACAACCTAAACCCACCCTACACCGGTCCTAAGCCAAACCTAGCCAACCCTAAATGTCGCCAACTCAATCTTAAACCAACCATAAACGCACCCCAAACCCACCCTGAACCAACCCTAAACCCAGCAGAAGCCAACTACGCCACCCCTAAAGAAACCAAACCCGAACCCAACCTACACCATCCTAAGCCAACCACAAACCAACCCTAAATGACGCTAATCGAGCCCCAGACAACCCTGTGTTTTGTTTTTATGTGTTGTGCTCCACTTCATTTTAAATGTTCTGTCAAAAGCTAAGCATCCCTTTTAGTCTGTCGACAAGCAAAAAACAGCAAAGTTCTATTCGCATGTTTCCTTAGACTGGTACGTGTGCCTAGGCTCCCAGTGTGGGTGAAGGGTTGGCTTGGGGTTGTTGGGTTGGTTTAGGGCAGGTTTTCGGTTTGTCTAGGGTGGCTTCGGGGTTGCGCAGGGGTGGCTTGGGTTCGCTTAAGGGCGGCTTGGGGCTGATTTAGGGTGGCTTGATTTCAGGTGGGCTTAGGTTTGTTAGAATGTGTTCGTTTGTTTTGGGTTGGATTTAGGTTGTTTAGGTTTGTCTGGGATGGTTTGGGTGGTTTTCTTTGGGGGGGGGGTTAAGGCTTGGGTTAGGCTAGGATTAGTTTTACGGTTGGCTTAGGGTTGGCTGTCAAGCTTAGCTTCGAGTGGGTTCAGGGTTGGGTCAGGGTGAGCTTTAGGCTGGGCTTCTGGTTGGTGCAGGGTGGGCTTATGGTTGAGGTTGGTTTGGCTTGGTTGGGGTTGGTGTAGGGCTGGCCTAGATTTGGTTTGGGTTGGGTTTGGCGGGTTTAGGGTAAGTTTGGGTTTCAAGGTTGGTTTGGGGTTGGTTTGGTTTAGAATGGGTCTACCGAGCGTTTAGGATTGGGTTAGAGTTGGCTTAGTGTCGGTTTAGGGTTGAGGGTTGGTATTGGGTCGGTGGGTCTGTGGTATGGGGTGTGATTACGGTTGGATTAAGGTTAGGGTTTGATTTAATGTATTTAGGGTTGGTACGGGTGAGGGGGGTTGATTTAGGGTGGCTTGGCTTCAAGCGCTTCAAGGGGCCTGTTATTGCATCTCTTGCGCGCCAGCAATCTCTGCTGCGATGTGACATGTTCAGCCTGCAGCAATTTGGATCAATTCAACAGTTTTAAAGCAGTTCCTATTTTCATATGTTTGAATCATGGGGCCCTTGAGCCGCGCTAGCCGCTCTTGAAGTCTGCGACTGCGCGCCGCGAGGCTTGTGAAAAGAGGGGCGCGTTTGCCAAAAAGAGCATGGTCTCTAAAGACCCCATTCTTGCCAGTCTGGCCGGTTTAGCCAGAAACTCCGTGCTTGTTATTGGTCAAAGATGCGGCTGCTGCAGCTGACAACGCCATCCCTTGCTTTGAGAAATTCGGGGATGGCAACTGTGCCTTGCGTTGTGTAGAACAATGGTTCTCGGACCCTCTGCGTCAGGTGCTTCGCCTGAACAGCGGGCAAAGCCAAGTTTGCCGAGGAACACTTGCGGCGTTGCATGGCGCAGGGGCTTGGAACCCTTCTCCGCGAAGAGCAACAGGCTGAAGGTTTGGCGCAGGGTTGGCTGGAGCGCGCAAACAAACGCGCGACGAACATACACACACACACACACACACACACACACACACACACACACACACACACACACACACACACACACACACACACACACACACACACACACACACACACACACACACACACACACACACACACACACACACACACACACACACACACACACACACACACACACACACACACACACACACACACACACACACACACACACACACACACACACACACACACACACACACACACACACACACACACACACACACACACACACACACACACACACACACACACACACACACACACACACACACACACACACACACACACACACACACACACACACACACACACACACACACACACACACACACACACACACACACACACACACACACACACACACACACACACACACACACACACACACACACACACACACACACACACACACACACACACACACACACACACACACACACACACACACGCACACAAACACGCACATAGGCAAACAAACATACGCGCACAAGTACGCGCACGCGCACACACACACACACACGCACCTTTCTTGCTGGGGTTTTGAAGCCGAAGCACACGCCGGAGGAGAGGGGCAACCGCAAGAGGGCCAAAGAGCAGCTGCAGCTGACGCTTGGCGTCTGGAGTGTGTGTGCGTCTCGAAGACACAATGGCGTCAGGATAAAGCCATTGCAAGCCCTGGCGAAGTTGGCAAAGTGTTCCATCTAAAGCAAACGAGTGTGTTTTTCGAGGAGGAGCCCGTGTATGCTCCCAATTGTCGGGTCTCTGGGGCAGCAGACCCTAAAAGGGTTTAGGCTTAAATCTGCTCTGCGCTCAGGTGAAGCAATGCCAGAGGTACCACCTGGAGCTGCAGGTTTGGAAACAGCGCACTTTTCATTGGCGAGCCTGGGTTGCAAAGTACAAAAGGGGGGTGGGTGGCCACTGGCTTCAAGCAAAGCTGTTATCTGAGGACCACTACAGGGTGGAGGGCAGGAGGAGGGTGCAGTTCTTCACCATTTTTGGAAGGTGAAGCTGCTACTACTTGGCTGCATGCGTGCTGTGTGTTCTTGAGGGATTTAATCCTTGAGAGCTTGCTGAACTAAGGGTCGAGGAGGTCGTGAGCTGGGCTCTAGGGAAGTGCCACTTGCCAAGCCTCACGGAGCAGCCTCTACAAAGACCTTGTCCAGCAACATCGGCCAGAGGCATCGCAAGACTTGGCTTCCCGAGCTTGACGGAGTGGGTGCTGGCAATCTGCTTACCCTTTTTCCGGGCTTTTGGGAGGACTCACAGATGGGTCGCTTCAGCCGTACGTTCCGGAAGCGTTTGGGTACAGGGAAACCCGAACGCCGTAGGCTGCCAAACAAGAGATTCATGCAGGACCGGGTCTCCTCAACACACACCGGCAAGCAGTGTCAACTCCTCACTCATTCTGCGACATGACGACCGAGTCTATCTGGCGGGGCTGCAAGACTATATGGATGAGAGTGAAGAAACTGTTTAAGAAAGCGCGCCTCAACACATGTCTAGTCTGTCGGCTATCAGGTGTCTTGGGTGCAGCGTTTGCTTCAGCGCTCCCTAGCTTGAGACTACTAGCTACTAGCTTTGGCGCATTCGCCAGCTTGCTCGCATTGGATCCTAAACCCTATTTCAAACCCTATTTCAAACCCTAAATCCACGTTGAACCAACCCAAAACCACCCGTGTCATCACCCAGTTAACCCTAATGGACCCATTCTAAGCCCAGCCATAACCACCCTCTAAAACATCCTGAAATTTACCATAAGCCCACCCTTAACCAACCCAAGCCCACCCTGAAACAACACACAACCTTAGCCCACCCTAAGCCACAGCCAAAAACGAGTTGGATCCACCACCCATCCTTTCCCGACCCTAAGCCCAGCCTGAACAAACCCAACCAACCCCTAGCCCAACCGTAAACCCACACTTCCCATCCGAAACCAACCCCCAAACCGAACCCAAAACCGCCCCAACCAACCCAACCCTGAACCGTTGCTTAGCGCAGTGGCCGCAGTCTTCGGCCACAGGGTTGGCACAGAAGAGATAGAGGGTTAAAAGCAACGGTGGGGGGTACGAAATAAGGAAAGAAAGAAAGAAAGAAAGAAAGACAGAAAGAAAGGGGGGACTGTTAAAAACAAGGGGGGAGGGTCAACAAAGACGGGGGGAGAGTTAATCAAACAGTGGGGAGGGTTTCAAAAAGAAACAGGGAAGGGTTCAAGGAAAACGTTTGGAGGGTGAAAAGCTAAACGTTCCCCTACGCCGGGCGTGAGGGTTTTCAGCGTTGTGATTTTTGCTCAAGACAGACCCGTTCGGTTGGTCATATGCCAAAATTGTTCATGACCCTATTCTTTCAGAGTCTTGGAGGCTGAAAGATGTGCTGGGTTTCAAGCCAAATTCGGGAAGAGTACGTCAGGCGTTGCCCAATGCGGAGGGGGACCTCCTGGGGGTGGTGCTGTTTCGACCCACGGACCAACGCATCCAAGGCTTGAAGTCAGGAGACGTTCCTTGGACTCGGCAAACTCCTTTGCTTTGGGTTCTGGCTTCTACGGAAAATGATAAACCCAAGAACAAGGTTAATTGCCCTTTGGTGCAGGAGACATGTGTTTCTAGTCCGTGGACCGCTGGTGAGCGGCGGACAGCCCCTACCGCCCAATTACTCTCTTTGCAGAGGTTCACCTCACCGACGTGAGGGAACATGAACATATAATATTGATCATTGTTTGATATATTGGGTCGTCTCATTGACCCGCCGGCATCTTCAATCATTGACTTCGCTTGCCCTTTTTCCCTTCGCTTGCCAGTCTAAGCAGGCTGCACGCCGCAGAGGGGGCTTGGCCCTTCCCAGGAGCAGAAGCCAAAAAGGTCTTCCAAGAGCTCTTCCCCGATTGGCCAACGCCTCTCATCCCGGACTCTGAGCGGCCCGGCTTTGGGGGTCGGCTTTTCTGGCCACCTGTCAGTGGATGAGCTCTAAATCCTTTTGGTTTGATGGCTCTAAATCCAACTTCTTGGTGAACAAACGCATGAAACTCCTGATCTTCCAGCGCTCACTCCAGAGAAGGTGGCGCAAGTTTGGGTATACATTGCTGCATGGAGATTAGGAGGGGCCGTGGGGCACACACGGGGTGTATTGTTTTGAGGGCACCCTTTTTCAGGTTTGAAAATTGGAGCTAAACACACAAACACAAACCAACAACAACTCTGTTGAGACAAACCACCATGAGCCCAAGTTTGATGTTCTTAAGGCATTTCAGAGACCTTAGCCTCGTCATTCATGGTGGCATGTTCTGCCGGCAACTGGGCTTACGCTCAAAAGTTGAGATCAATCGACGGAATTCGAACTCAACTTTGGCCATGTCTGAGGCATGGTTGCGGGAAACAGGGTTTTAGGGTTACTTTCTGGACGTGATACCAAGGGAATCCTCTTGTCACAAGGGCTCTGTTTCGCATCCATGTTCTGAGGTGGGGGAACTTTGCAAGCCGCAAAACCCGGGAGCTGCCGCAGTTCGCGTTCGCCGGGCCTGAGCTGAACCTAGGCGGGACCCTGGGAACTGGGGGCTATGGGAAATAGGATTTCTTGAGGGAGAATGGACAATATTTTAGGACGGGGGGTGTTTCTGTCATGTTTGCTTGACGACTGTTTGGCATTTTGTTCAGGTTGGAAGCTCCTGGCCCACTGAACCAAGCAAGGGGCCTGAAATTGGGGATTGGTTGGAGGAGAAAAGCACCACAAGTTCCGTTTTCCTCCCCAGTGGGGTGGCGCCAGTTGGGTCAGGCCGCATGCTTTCGGTGCCAGGTGGAAAGTGCTGCCTGCTGGGGGATGCCATCCACTCTGTGAAGCCCTTCTTCGGCTCGGGCCTCGCAAGACGGGGCAGTGGCTATGTGTCAAGGTCAAAAGGGTACCCTCAAAGAAACAGAAACACACATATCTGAGCCTCGCAGTGAAGATCGGACAGGTTGGATGAGAGCCTTTTGATCAGAATGCCTTTCACCAGAAGGTGAATTCCGATCCTTTCTAGGATAAGGGCAGTTTGATCACTTGGCATGGGTTCTGATTGCCTTCAACATGGAATCGAAAAGGGGGGGCCCTCACGTGGAGATGGTTTCCTTTGGTTGGACTCGTTCCTTATTTCATTCTTCTTAATTTTGATTAGAATTATACAAGTAGCACTTGATAGACACATCAAGTAGAGTTCATAAGAAAGAAGTTAGAGATCCCAAAATTGTTAAGCTGCTCACATGCCTACTGATCTGCAAAGACAATTCTATTGGACAGGAAACCCTGTGTAGCATCCATTTTGAAGTAGACAAAACAGGATTGAAGCTCTACTTTAAACCAACACTTATGTTTGGATTGTTCGTTATTAAATGCTTTTTAATCACGAAAGCTAGCTTTAGCTAGCTGAAGTTTCTCCTTGCGTAAGCAAGGTAAGGGGCTCAAATGCCGAAAGATTGATTTTTTCAATTATTTGAGCCGAAAAGATTGAAAAATATCAATCCCCCCCCCCCCCGGGTCTCAGGCTCGATTCCTCCCTGGTCCATCCCCCCCCCCCCGGGCAGTGGCTCAGTGTTCAGCAGTCTCGGTTTGCCCGTTTTGGACTTGGTGCTACGAACTTTTACATGTTCCACCGATTCAGCTTGTTCACTTGAGACCTCAGTCTTCTCGGTAAACCACCTCGCAAGAATCCTCTGCATGCAGAACCCAAGAATCTTTGCACACGCTGCATGCAGAACCCAGAGGTGCTTTAAGACAGCTTCTGACGCCTCTCGTTGTTTTCATTTTTCAAGGTTTGCCACGCCACCATGTGCGTTTGCGTGACGCATCCTACGAATCTTGCCGGGCCTCTCGTTGTACACAAGCTACCTATGAATCCACTCTGTCACCGACCCATCTCATGCAACAACTGCTAGCTTTCGTTCACCCGCTCCTCAAGTGTGAGATAGGAATTAAGTAGAACTTGATAAGTATATTGAGTAGAATACGGAAGGACAGAATTTAGAGGTTCCAAACATGTTTAGTACATGTTGTTTAGATGCTTACTGATTTGTAAGGACAATTCTATTGGACAAGGAATTCCCGTGTGACATTTATGTTGAAAATATGATTTTCACACATGAACATCTATTTTAATTGTACAATTTGGTGGAGTCGTTCCTTGATAATTTCTAGTTAATTTCAGTTAGACATTGGGAATAATTTGGCAAAGATATTAATTAGATTTCAGAAGGAGATAATTCAGAGGTCCTAAAATTGTGTTTTTTTGTGTTTACCAGCCCAGAACTACCATGGTCAGAAAACACCGTAAACCACAGTGTTGTGTAGCCTTTGCCGTACTCAATTCACATCTCCACCAACGGCCGCTCTCCAAGATTCAGTTTGAATTTGAATAGAATTTCAATAGGACTGAAGAAGGAAATACTTGATCAGAATCCTACTGTTTGGGGGGTTTTGTATTACACCCTGGGATTACACCTTGGGTTTTGACCCAGAATGGGTCGAAACTACACGGTTTTATCCTGAAATATGGCTAAATGGGGTCAATACCCAGTGGGTGTATTCCCAGGGGCAATACAAAAACCCTCAGATACTGGGAATTGTATCTTACATTTATAATTTTGATGTAAATCGTTTCCCAATAGAGCACTGCAATTAAAGTAGAGTTTAAAAGTAATTTGATAAGGAATAAGTCCAATCACAGTATGTTCTGGCCAACCGAATTTCTTTACAATTCAGCTGACACTTAAACACACATTATGCAAACACAGTTCATTTTCAACGGGGGAAAACTGAGTTTCTGGAAAATCAACTCCCAGTTCTTCAGTGGACTCTGAGGGTCAATTGTGTGTCTGCCAGGTTTCAGGGAGCAACTGGGTAGTTGGGTTTGCGAGAGCGCCTTTGCGCCCTGTTGGCTCGGCCTGGGGTTCTCATTGCCCAGGCCTTGGCTTGAACAGCGGCTTTGAAGACATTGCGGTTTTGGACCAGTGCCACTCGGATGCAAATAGGGCAAGTTGGTTTCAAACTGGCTAGCAAGCCTGTGATCCTTCCAACTCGCCAACAGGAAACCACAGAGGGGTTTGGTATTTGGCGATGTTTAGAACCCAGCAAAGACTTCTTAGGCAAGCGTTTTGCATCCCCAGTTAAGATGTGTTCTCTATCTCACATCCCCAGTACAATCGGCATGCAATCGGATGTAAACACGGCTCGTTGGCGGCGGACTGCTTTTCCGATTCTGTCCACTTGGCTCAACTACCAAAAGGAACAGGCGAGCGTCTGAGCGTTTTTTCCGGATTGTGTTCCGCTTCCCACTGGAAACAATCTACCCCAGAAACAAAAAAAACCTTCCCCTACCGGTGTGCATCCCTTGCGAGCATGCCACGGGCATGTTTTGAAGGGCTGGGGCAATTTACTGAGTTGGAGATGTGCCATATCCAGTCCTTCTTCCGTTTGGCCGCCCTTGAACACCATCCACGAGAGGGGTCCCACTTCGAGACATACATATTCTAGATCAGGTTGTCCCCTGGCTCACGTTGCATATTTGCAGACGGGAGGCTTCCGCTTCACCTGATTTAGGGCAGAGGGGTGGGTGTCTTGAGTGTATGGGAATGCCACCCCTCAGACGTCTCAAACTCACCCTTCGAAATGTCCGTTCTTCAAGATGGCTGCTATCTGTCTTTGTTTGGATGGCTGTGTTGTCTTGCCTGGTGATGCTGGAGGCGATTGAGCATTTCTGCAGCTCGAGTGGAAGCGCAGTACATAGAGATCGGTCACTCTGAACATTGGCCCTAGGCCGATCCACACACTTTTCAGAGGTGCCAAATGACTTCCAATGTCTCAAAGCAATGCTGCTCAACTTGACTGCTATATGGTTGGATCTTTAGGCTTTCACTTTTTGGGAATTCAAGTGGTTTTCCACTAAACCCCCCAAAAAGTTTGAGACTTTTTGCAGGGTCAACAGCAACGCAACTCAGGATCGCCATCAATCCCCCCAAAGGTAATAACCTGCGGACTGGGCCCTGAGGCCTCGAGGAGAGCGGCGACGACTTCGCCGTGGCGCTGCCGCTCTACTCCAGGCACCGGCAAGCGGCATTTGCGCGTTCGGCTCCAAAGAAGCGGAACACCCCCCGACCTCCGAAAAGTGGTCCCTTTGTTTTTCTGCAAAAGTTTCGTTTTGGCTTCCCAGGCCCCAAAGAGGGTCTTGCCGTCTTGCCTGTTGAGTTGGCAACTTCAATCTTGGTGTTTGCAAGGTGCTTCATGGTTTTAAGCAAGGCTGAAAGGTTTTGAACTCTTTGCCAGTGTAGTAAGTAAGAATCAGTTAGCACATGGAACCCCAATCGTCCCACGCATTTTCCGGCTGGAATCTCTGAATGTGCCTGTCTCTTCGCTGGGGTGTTACCCTCTCAGACACCCCCCGAGCCACCTGACGCCTCCAGCGCGGCGTCAGGCGGCGGGCGCCGCAAGCGAAGTGCCTGGTGCTTTGCCAGCGGCGCTTCGACCAGGCGGTCGGGGAGCGGGGAGCGGGGCGCGGTGGGGCGAGGTGCGGTCGCCGGTTGGGCCGTTGGGCCATGCCACTTCGTTCGCTTATTTCACCTGGTGGTGGTTTAAACCATGCCAAATATGGGGGGAATGTCCTTCATTACACATCATTTGCTTGCCAATGCTCAGTGAGTTGCCCTGGGATGATGTCTTTCACCAGGTGTTAATGCCCACCATCAGTTATTTCACCTGGTGGTGTTAAACACCTACAGATGGTGAGGTAACCACGCCAAGTATGGGGTAACATCTGGAACACCCTTCAGTCGCCAATGTTCAGCGAGCTGCCCCGGGATTGCGCTATAAGAATGGTGAAACACCTCTATTGCATAGTTAGACATCCGCATTGCACATCCCCCTTTGAAGGGACGCTTTGCCTGTCGACTCAGGCGACCGACTTGAAGTTCGCGCTGGCCTTCGTGCTTCCGCTGGTGTTGGAGCTTCGGCCCGTCGGTTTCTTGAGAAACCCTTCCATCTTGGCTCCTGGAATTCCTCCGTGCCCACAAAAGACCAAGACAAAATGGGACGTGATGCCATGTGTTTCTAACATACCCTCCCCTTTTCACCTGGAACCCGACGTGCGGGGCCGTCCTGGTTCGGACCCTTGATCCTTTGAAAGGGATCCGGTCCCGAACGTCAAAACCCCATTGGGAGATCCCCACTCACCGGGAAACATGTTGGTCGAGGTCTTGGAGCACCAACGATTGGTGATCAAACCCCTCAGTGGCGCACAAACACCCTTGAAAAAGGTCAGCCCATGTCAGGTAGGAAGCCATGCAAAGCTGCAAGTCAATGTTTGCATCCTATTTCCTAAGTGGGTTTAACATCCAGGAGATTGTACATGTACCGTTTTAGTTGTTCAAGAGAAAAAAAAAGAACCACAAGAAGGCCTTTGCTCCTGTTGTTCAACCCCAGCGTCATTGCGCCATACGCTTTGGGTGCTGCTGTTTAGGACTGCAGAAGTAACGTGGGGCTACACAATTCCTCATGCTGCGTCAAAAGGGATGCAGGTTCTTATTTTGAGATCCAATTCTTATTGCTGGTATTTGGGAATTGTTGACGAATTGGTATTGAGGGATCCCAGCAATTGTTCCTTTGGGGTCGGTATCAGACCCTTGTTCCCGGTTTGTTTGGTTAGGTTCCCACTTGAAATGGGCACCCCCAACAGGGGTGCCCTTTTTTTGGCCAGGGTCCGTGGGCAACTGGTACCACACGCATCTGAAGGTGCAATAAGCCATGGTCGAATGATTCGACGGCTGGCCCTGGTAGTGGGCTGAGTGCCCCTTGTAACCTTACTTGTCAAGTTAGAAGGGCAAGTAGAACGACTTGATCCAAGTGGGCGTGTGGGTGTTTTTCGTTCGGATGGCACCCCTTGAGCCGCCTCAAAAGGAACAACCCATCTTCAGGCCCTCCCTGGTTGGAGAACCCCATGCTTTGGCCCGTAGTTCCAGAGGAAAATGACTTGGTGGGTCAATATTAAACGACTGCAGATTTTAGTCCATGTTTCCATCCAGGGATTGCCCCATTTTGGGGTTTCCTTACTTTTGACTGCTATTGGGTTGGATCTTTAGACTTCAACTTTTTGGGAAATAAAGGTGTTTTCCACCAACCCCCCCAAAAAAGTTATTCACTGTTTGCAGGGGGGTCGTTGCAGCAGCCGAGTATTTTTGACCACCGCTGATGGCGAGGACGGCGTCTTCCGGAAGCTCCTGCCGCGGGTCTTCGCGCCGGGGCTGCTGGCGCTCTTCCAGGACGGGGAGCTCTCCTTCACGGAGGCGCGGCGCCGGAAGCTCCGGGATCGCGTGCTGCAGGCGGGGTGGGGCCGGGGAGGGGATGGATGGAGGTGGAAGGGGGTGGGGCGGTTTTAGGGGGAAGGGGGTGGTTGGGGTAGGTGATGCTAGGTGATAGGTGGGTTAGGGGGGGTTAGGAGTTGGGGTTAAGTTGGTTAGGGTGACTAGGGGGGAGAAGGGAGGAGGGGAGGGTTAGCGGGGCTCGCGTCTTCGAATGGGGCCAGCGCCATGGACAAAGAGGGGCTGGTTACGGGGATAATGGGGGCAATGGGAGTAAGGTGGTTCTCCCCTTCTCTTCTGAAACCGGGAGCAATCTCAAACAAGAGCCCCTTCCATGGGTAACGGTCTTCCATTGCCAGGCTATAGCAAGAAAACAGCAACCCTACCTGGATGTTCAACCTACTCAAACCGTGAGTAGAAATGAGACAATGTTGGTTTGTGGACATATGACCTTGGCTGCTGGGATCTCTTAAAGCCACGGTTGGGTTGCTGGGTGCTAAATGGCAACCATACTGGCTTTCCCAAAGCGCAACCGACTGGAATTTGTTGTTTTTCTCCAGGGGGTATACCCATGGCTTTTAAAGGATGCATTTCACCATGCTAACCCGCTACGTGGCTTGACGGAAGGAAGAGAAGATGGCGGGGGGGGGGGTGATTCATCCATCCATCCGCAAAAAGGGCAAAGCCAAGGCCATAGTAGTCCCAACAACTGGATTAGAAAACGATGACTTTAGGGCCTCGGCTCAGTGGAACCCGAGTCTTTAACTCAGCGAGGTTGGCGCTTTCGCTGCGTCGGGCCACAGTCCCTGTTTAACTATCTTGAACAAATCGAGGGCCGAAGAGTGAACCATATCCTTTTAGAGGTGCCGACAAAGGTCAACAGGACCAGTCTGGGCCAGGTTTCGCTGAAGTTTGTCAAAATGGGGGACCCCTTTTGCTTGGTATCCGATATGAAGCCACACGGATGGACGAAATCCTGCGCCACCTAAGAAACCCTGGAATGATTCGATTCCCCTGTAAATACCCAACAAATAATGAGGTTCCAGCCATGGTTTCACTTCGTGGTGCGAACGGATTTCGCAACCATCCACAGTAGGGGCGTTCCATTTTCCCATTCCGCGAAAGGTTCTCAAAATGGGGGCCCCCTTTTTTTTGGTCTCCGATATGAAGCCACAACCAACCAAAGGGGCGTTCAGCGCACCCCGGCGCCGGTCCGTCGCTGAGGCCCTGATCCTCTCCGTGGCGTTTCTGGCCGCGGGGGCCGTCAGCTTCTTCCTGGCGCGCGGCGTGCTGCGGGGCCTCTGGCGCCTGGCGAGGCGGCCGCTGCACGCGTGGCTGCACCACGAGCTGCTGTGAGATCGCACTGGCTTAGACCGAAAGTTGAAGAAAGAAGTCCCTTGAAGTCAACTGGGTATGTCTTTCCTGCATGGTGGGTTGGTTTTTCAGGGATAACGCATTGGAAAACGCATTGGAAAACGCATTGGGCAAATAAGAAGAAGTCACTCGAACTGCCAAACAAGTCGGCCAACGTGTTGCTTTCTTTCGGAAAGTGTCCTGAAACAACATCAACCACTCCGGAAAAGCAACTCTTGTTTCTCGTGGCTGCGTGGGGCTGGAAGTTCCACGGCCCTTCCCACATGGAACGTGGCTGGTCCGCCCGTGGAAGATTTGTTTGCACTCTCTGCCTCGGAGGCTCAGGCGCACATTCCGGCGCGTGATGCTTTGACATAAGCTGTGTACAAGCCCCTGGCCTGAAAGTCTGCTCACTTCAGAGGGCTTCGGAGTATCGAATCGTGGAGAAAGGTGCCGGAGTGCTGCCGCTTCGATGCAGTGCGTTGAAAAAGCCAGGCGGAAATACCAGCTGGAGGGCTTTGTCCATTTGGGAGGGACATGGGATCCACGAAATGCCTTGCAGATCGCAGACACGAGACTCAACTGTTCGACATCCTTTTTTCGGGGAAACACGTAGTTTGACCCGTGGCTCCATGTATATCGATGCTTTGGCCACGGCTTTGTGAGAGCGGAGTTGGCATGCGCACTTGCCTGATGAGTCTTGAGTCTGCTGTGTCTTCATCAACCCTCCCCCCCCAAAAAAAAGAAAGCAACAACAAATGAAAGACCAACACAATCACAACCAAATAGTTTTGCTCCTAAAGAAAAAGCAATAACAATTAGAAACATAATGGAAGTGCACAGGCTTCTGTCAAACCAGGCAGGTAGTCCCGGTGGTCCTCCTTAGGATTTTGTGCGAAGTCCGGCGAAATCTGCAGATGTTTAACATTATCCCAACGGAATGAACCAGGCAGTTTCCCATAAACCGATCCGGTAAGCGGAATAAGGCAATTTCATAGGGAAAGCTCTTTCATGGGTAAGCTCGTGTCGCTCATGGGACAAGTGCGGTCTTTTTCAAGTTTCCTGTCCCTTTTATCTTTGTCGGTGATGTATAAGCGTGGCCTTGTGGCCACCTTGCTTAACATTCCGAGTCGAGGCCCCCATCCAAGACCGGGATTCCCATCCTTTCCGTGAGGGCCCGGTGTGGCGTAGGCGTGCAACCGGAGAAAAGACTTGCGAGCCGCGAAGTCCGGAAATCGGCGGGCCGTTCTCTGACTTGTTTTTGCGAAGCACATTCTCCCGCCCATGTGACATCATGTGGCCCTGTAAATGGTTGGGAAACCACCCGCGACAGTAATTTCGAGAAGCCCTCAAAATGCAACCTGGGAGGGCATGGCCTTCAGGCGAGCAAATGAGTCAAGTGCCCGAACCTTGGGCCACTATGTGCTTGGGCTGCCTATCCCTTTGGATAAACAATTCAATACCATGCACGAGTTCGGGGTTCATCCCTTCATAGGGCTTTAAATTGTTGCGAAGCAGTTCTGATTGCATTTGAAACCCAGGAGCTTGGTTGTGTGCCCAAGGCCAAAGTGTGAGTGACATTTAGACAAGATTCAGGATATGATGGGAAAAGCACATCTCCAACTGGGGGTTTTGTCTTGGAAGTAAGGGCGAATTAATTGGCATGCAACACTTACCCTTCCAGGAATTCCAACAAGCCATGGAAGATGACGAGAGGGCCTAGGTAAACCGCGCTCCTTTAGGTCAGCTGTCCGCTTTTATGCTTGTCTGGCCGAGATGTTTTCTTTGGGTTGGTCAGAGACAGCTGTCAGCCTCCCCTTTCTTGGCTGCTGAAATTGGGGCAGTGGGATTCATTGATGAAGTTGGGCAAAATTTGGTAGCCTTGGGATCTGCGACCTGCCTTCGAGACCGAGGTGTTGGCAACCAGGCATTTGAGGTGCGGGGGGCCCCTCGTGGGGGAGGAGGGGTTCCAACCAGCGGAGACCATTTTTTGTTTTCTCTTCGGAACCCACTTAGGCACACCCAGCATGCCAAGGGACCGTCCAGGAAAAGTTAGTACGTCGAATTCTTCCTGACAAAAGGAGAAGAGATAGGCGTGGGCAAACCTAGGCACCTTTGGGTGACGCTTCGAAACAGGAGCCAACATGAACCAAGCGCTCATACGTAGGGATTTGTGACACATGGCCTGGAGTTTGACAAGGTGTGCAGTGTTTGATTAGTGTTTGCCAGCCCGCCAGGCGATCTGGGTGTGTCTCAAACCAACTCAAACCAAAGAGGGGGTTCCCAAGCCAAGAGACACACCCACACCCTCAAAGGTTGGAGTGGGGCGGCTGGAGCTTCATTGCCTAGATAAAATAAAAAATGTGGGCTTGGCTGACAGCGCAGCGAGCCGGCAAAGATCTCTCGGTGGAAATTCCGGGCCCAGGGTTTTTTGGGTTTGTTGGCTTCGTTCACGTTTTTTGGTCCCCTTTCGGGTTTGCTGGTTTGTTTGGTTTTCCCACCCGGACTCAAAGTCCCAAATCTCGCTCTGGCCGAAATCCGAACTACCTTCCCGAAGCGAGCGCGGACAGGGTGAGGATAGCGAGAGCGAGAATGAGGCGCTCCAATGGGCAAAACTGTGAATTGGTGATTGGTTTAACTATTTTTGAGAAACAGCGGATTCTCCGTTGGACACGAAAAGTCATTGGACACGAAAAGTCCAACTTTTGTCGAGGGGTCAACAGCTCCAAGGCTTAAACCACAAGTGTTTGAACACGCCCTTGTTGCCCTCTTGTTGCTCCCCTTTGAGGGGGAGCACGGTCTGATTGTTTAAGGTCGTTTGGGAAAAGCCTTACAAGCAGGCACTAGAAACGGTTTGGATGCAACTTTTGTGGGTTTCACTGTTCTCCCCTGCTGGTGCTGTAGGAATATTTTAGTACTCTTTTGATATCCTACAGGGGTTGTGGATTCACCGGGGTTCACAAAGTATCCAAACTGTTTCTTAGACGGACACATTGTTCCTTGCTGCGGAGGTAGCCTATCAAAACTCTTCTGAAAATTCGACATGGGTGCAATCACTTCGGAATGAATACAAGTTAACATCACCACAAGAATGACAATTTACTAGTCGATTGAGAGACGAGATGAATCGAGATCTAACACTGTGCATTTTCAAGCGGACCTCCTGGCCGCTTCCACGGTATTCACGGACTGGCAAAAGCCGAGGGGTGAGGGAATGGGCAGAGGCCGTTTGCCCCTCGCCGAGTTGAAGCTACAGTGAGGTTCGGGGAAGATGTCCGGTGGCCCATGGTCTGGGGGGAACTCACCAAAAGAGTCACAGAACTAGGGGACTCACTCAATTTTCCCCCGAGCTTTGACGCTCTTCGACTTCTCAGGATTTTCTTGGCGAAGCGGCGGTTTTGTATTTTGATGGTGCGCTTGTTTGGTTGCTTAGTTGTTTAGTAAGTTATTTGTTTGCTCATATGTTTGATTGTGTTCTTGCTAGCTTGCTGGTTGGTTTGCTTGCTTGTTTGCTTGCTTGTTTGCTTGCTTGTTTGCTTGCTTGTTTCTTTCTTTCTTTCTTTCTTTATCTTTTTCTCTCTTGCTTTCTTTCTGTCTTTTCCTTCTTTCTGTTTGTTTATTAATTTAATTATTTGTTTTATAGTATGATTCTTTGCTTGTGTGGTAGTTCGGTTCTTGATTCCTTGGCTCTCGCCAGACGAGCCCCCGGCGCAAGCCAACCCGGCGCGGTGGACGCAGGGCCAGGCGCGGATCCAGGGGTTTTCCTACATGTTGGGTATCTCACGGTGTGTCTTTTTCTTTTTTTGGGTCCAGGGTATAAAAACGACGTGCCCTTTTAGCCATTTTTTGGGGGAGGGTTCCGCTACCAGAATAGTCTACATTTAAAAAAGGTACCCTTATAACCTCTCTACCGGAGGACCTAGATAACTATTGCTGACAAATATATTCATCAACCCAGTTTATATTAATGGGGGGGGGTTCCCTGGGTGAAATGTGGGGGATCATCACTTTTAGAGTGGAACATCCCCATCTTAGTCAACCGGGCTGATATATATGGGGTCAGCTTGATATCTCCTTTTCAGGAACGGTTCCTTCGGGAAGCCAAGAAGGGCTCGGCTGGGGGCGATGCTTGAACGGCGCAGGGTTGCGGGAATGAAGCAGGCCAATTTTGAGAGCACACAGTGGGCCACAAGCGCCGGCCAACCCCTGTTGTCCCATTTGTAACCAAAGCACCTGAGCAGGTTGAAGATCCAAGCTACCTGATTAAGCCCCCAAATCAGGAGACTCACGCGTTTCTGTTGAGGTGGTTCCAGCTGTCGCCAAGGTACAATCATGTTGGAACCCATGTGTTAGAATTCCTTTGGAGTTTGGAGGCCTTTGTGATACCAGAGCCCCCCCTTTGACTGGAGAAGTCTATTGGAAGGCCTTCCATCCGCCTCAGAATGCTGCAAGTCGGATTGGGTAGAAAGAGATCCGTTTTTGGTGGGCTTGCCTTTTGAATCCCTGGCTTGGGAAGCCAGCTGCTCAGAGGATTCAACTTTGTTTCCCCGAGTTCCTGAACCATGGGCAACTGGGGTAAGGGGCTCTCAAGTGAAGACACCCTCTACGCAATCGACCCCCAGTATATATATTTTTTTGGGGTTGTATTTCTGGGTAGCCTGCGAAGAATCTGATGATGAAGGCTGCTTTTCATTTGGGTAGCCGGTTATTCCAGGGATAGCTAAAAGTTATATGACATACCGACGCGACCCCTAAAGGCACTGCTCAACATGTTGAACCATGCCTCATGCCATGCATTGAGTCGATTTGGAGTGACTCGAGTTGCATTCGTTCAACGTGTACGAATGGGAGATCCACTTCAGGTTCCCAGATCACTGTTGCACACGACCGTGTCAAGCAGACAATTTGAGCATTGGGGAACCCCTGCCTTTGCCAAGCCAAGCTTCTTGGCGCAAGGCCACAATCAACCCTCAAACTACCCGGACGCTCTTACTGGCAAGAAT